ATATATATGTGTGTGTGTGTGTGTGTGTGTATAATATATATTTATAGTAACTAGCATCCCCAATTGCTATTTTTAAAAGTGTAGCCCTTCCATCGTACCATAGAATGTCAGCTAATAGTGAGGACACAGGGGTGGCGCCAGCGGGAAGGCCGAGGGACCACGGCCTCAGAGCTGCAGTAGTAGAGCGCAACAGTAGTAGGGTAGGCAAAAATCTCTTGGTAGTAGGTCGAAACAGTGTAGTAGGCACTGTAAAAATTAATGTACTATTAGCATGGTAATTATAATATCCTTAATTGAGGTAGTAATAGTATATAGCATACATACTTACTGCATGTACAGTACTACTGATTCTGAAGGATAAACGTTTATAAATGGTCAGACGACGGACACATGTAATACGATATTGCATGTATTGTTTTAATGTTGATTTTTCACCAACATTTCGTTCATATTCAATAATTATAAAAGTAATAGGCATATAATTATATAGCAAGCAGATATATTTCAACAATTATTAAATTTTACCGAATGGCTGCCTACCCAATTTAATACATTGAATAGCTTTACTTGAAACGAAGATCAGATGAAAAATATCAGAAAAATAGCTTTCACTGATTTACAGACGGTTCTACAAAAAATATTCTTTAAATGTTACCAGTCAATGAATCATGCAAGCCGCAAAACGAACACAGCACGCTCCCTGTCTGTTAAGACAAGGATTTTTTTTCTTATTAAAATTTTAATTGTAAAATTGTAAGTTAACAACTGTGTCCGAAGTACTCGTAATTTGTCTCCGAGAATTTCTAAACGTTTACCTTTCAGAATCGACTACTATAATAGGTGACATACAATAGCTACAACACATGTTATATCTAGGCCTACTGTAGACCTACTGAAATAGCCAGATTCATTAATACTGTGCTTTTTTATACCTTCGAAGACCACGCTGTACATAAACTGTTTCTAGTTATAGGGATATGATTACAATTATTGTCAATTAATTTTCATGCTGTCTTCACAACCAAGGCCTTTAAGAGATTTTGGCCTACTCCGGAGCGTTCATCCACGCATAAGCAGACTGTTTTTTTAAACCTTTATCTAGTTAAGGTCAATAGCAGTAGGGCCTACATGCGAAAAAAATAACTGAATAATAATACAAATAATAAAAACATCAGCTCTAGTGACTGGAAGTACTAGAAGTGTTAATATCACCTTTACTGTAACATATATAGGTATTTTTAATTTTTTTAAAATACACTAACTTCTAAGTATTGTTGATAATTGATCATTGTTATGTACTTCTAATTAATCAGTTGAAGATTTTTTTTCTTGTTTTTTTTTGTAATTTTTAAGCTACAATACATTTTAAATGAGTTAATTCTTTTCTTCAAATAGTGAAAGGTTAGAAAAATACAATCAAAACATAGTCTTATTATACTATAGAATGTTTAATTTAGGTAAACATAAAAAAAATGAGGTATACTGTACATTTTATTTTACATTCTATTGTACAGTCATATGCACTTTAATTTAAAAAATAAAAAAATATATATAAATCAATCTCATTTTTATACAATAATAAAAGTTATAGAAAAATTAAAATGTTAATTGAAAACAATGAAAAAAAAAACAACAACAACCGTCTCAACATTAATAGTCAAAACACAAATATATCTACATTTACAATAGTGTGAATGTACTCACCTCCTGTTAATCGATCACTGGGTAATGGAATTAAAGGTTGACTTTTATAGTGACAACTTTTACACGTGTAAACATTTACTTACGTTTGTATTGAGGAGTTATGGCAATTATTTCATACCTAAAGAATGTAAAGATTACGGATAAGCATTGATTAAAATAGTGTGGATATAAAAATAAGTAAAGCATTTTGAATAAATATCTTCTAACAATAAGGTAGATTTAAAAAGATTTACGGACAAGCATTTTCGTCAAGAAGTGTAGATTTAAAAATAAACCAAGAATTATGAATCCTACGCATAATAGTAAAATAAGGTCAATTATACCATGATTTCAGGATTATAAAAAGTCTTAAAATAGTGTGGATATAACAGGTCAAGAACTACGGATAAACCCATCTTCTTAAAATACGGCAGATTGAATTCAATGATTACGAAACGTATGGTCTTAAAAAATGTACAATTTAATTTCCCACGGTATTTGACTGTAAAGTACTTTAATTCATATAATGCTATCCATGCCTAAATCATTAAGTGCTTAGAATATAACACACAGCTTCATGGTATTTTGACTTACGGCATATACTTAATTTCATCTTGGTTCTATGTAGGAACCATGTAGTTCCTTTTGCGTAATTGAGTCAAATACATAAGGTATTGTATATTAAATGTAAACAATCTCGTATATGAGGCAGAGGTGGATGAAGAGGGGGTGTGGTAAAGTGGATTTAATAATTACGGAAAACTACTCATTACTGTCGCAGTTAGTATTTTTTCAAATTCATACTGAGAGGGTGAATTTTCCAGCCTGTTGGATGGCCGTGCGGTTCAGAGCCGTAGATAGAGAGAGTTTGGCCAACTTGGCGCATGGCGCCATGTTGTCACCAAACAGCGTGCGCGCGTCTATAGCTTTATAACACTTTATAACACTGATGTACTACTTTCTGGAAATTATAGATAATTTAACAGCAAAGTGCAACATTGCATCTTTTAGAAATATCATTGCTCTTTGAAAATCCTTCATTTTTTCTTATTATCATCATATAGTATTATAGGCCGTTTTAAGTACAGTAGCTTGTGGCTCGCCAATATTTTGTTTGGTGACAACATGGCCGGTGTAAGTCATGTGATTTCGATGCGCTCAATCACACGCTCGTATAGCAAAATCCCGTGAAACCGAGTTGGCCAAACTCTCTCTATCTACGGCTCTGGTGCGTTTTAAGACAGGGACGCCACGATCTACAGCCATAATATCGGCGCTGGTTCGAGAGGCACGCTCGCCAATGGTTCTGGTGGTGGAACAAGTCTTCTAGGATAAGGACTATAAACCGTAGGTCTAGTGTACACAATAACTTTTGTGCACTATAAAGAACCCAGCGCGTCTGTCGAGACGAGTAGGGGGTTACTCTGGTGTACTGTTTCATACAGCCCCTGTTGTGGACAGTAGGCGAGAGACAACTGGTACCGGTTGACCGGGTAGGCACAAGAAACCATTATTAGGGGAGAAGTAAGGTACTGTGTGAGCTAGTTTGAGCGCTTTGAGACTTTGGTACAAAGCGCTATATAAATCCAACCACATTACATTACATCATAGAAGGTCAGTTGATATTCTGGGACACTCGAAGTCTCTTTAAGACCCGGGGAGTTATTTTGAGTCGTGAGAAAAAGTCATGCTGCCACTGGCATTGAACCCTGGGATTAAAAGATCAAGTATCAATTAACTACTAATCTATTCAACTACCATTTATACTTTAACATTTTTGTTAGGTATGCCTATCAGTCTAGCTTAAGCCTACTGTCGTAAAAAGATTAAATTTTACATTTTCTATTTTTAGGAGGCAATGTAAACATCTGGTTTAGAACAAAAGGGAAACCAATATTCACAAAGGCCTAAAGCTGCGTTCACACCGGATTTGAGCCGAAATTCGGACCGCGTTTCCGATGCGCTGCACTCCAGCGGCCCTATTCTTACACATCAATTTTCTGATAGGTTCGGTACCGATAAAAAAAAAAACTCAAATTCGATGTGATTGCAGCTTTTAAGTGATCTGATATTACATTCATTTTGACACAATAATTTTGTTGATTTAATATGTTATGTATTTTGTACATTGCAATTTCTGTAAATGAATGTTTACAGAAAGGCACCCGTTGTACTCTTCTATACACGACCTGTAAGAATTACTTAATTGCATCATTGCACCTCTCGAAAATTATAGAGTTAGAAAGAACTGTCCATACCTACTGTATATCCAATCCCAACTCTATCCAAATTATGTTTTTCATTATACGTTGTTTCTCAGATTTTGAATTATCTATAGGCAAACACTCCGACTTGCGAAGACTAATAAATATTATTTCTAGAAAATATTTTTTTTCAATTGTGCATTGTTTTTAAAAAAAGTATATGTAATTGTACAAACCTATAGGTATGCAGTACACTTGCTTATTGGGTGTTTATGTTGAATGAATTCAAAGTAGTTAATCGTTTTCGTACTTAAGACACTAACATATACATGAGTCTGTATGAATGACATCAAATAGAGTATAGCAGCCATTGAATATGTCTGAGCCACTTGTGTTTCAATATTTATAAAATATTATTAATATTAACATAAAATGTATTAATATTATTAATATTGTTACTATTATTACTATCAATATAATTGAATTCCGGCGTTTCCTGTTGTCAGCTTTTCCTGTCGTGATAAAAGTGACGTTTTTACACTTGCGGTGCTAAGGGTAAGTCACTTTACGAATCTAAGGACATATTATCCTCTTTAATAGTTACAATTATGGAGGTGCGTGTTACGGATGATGCGTGCCAAGTGAGCCTTTTGGGACATTAATTATTCAGACGATAGAAGCTTATAGCACAAAATTTGAATTTTAAAATCTCCAACTAGATGACATATTTGTATAATGACTATCGCGCCAGAGATGGCATTACAATGTGTGATACTTCAAAATCTTCTACAAGATTGGCGTAGGCCTACTAACTCCTAACATTGTCTACGTCCATATCGGCGAAAATGACTGACGGAAGTTGCCGAATGAACTTATTTTGCAAAGAATTGACAATCTAGTTAATTTTCTATAATTTGGACTTTACTGCGAGCATGCAATTTTAAGGCAATATTTGCTACGTCATCCTAGTCGTGTGTAATATACATTTAATGATTCGCTACTTAACATTAATAAACAAATCAACCAACATCATTATAACGACGACCACTTCCTTACATACTGGCGCCACTGTGGCCTGTGGAATGACTGGTCCCATCTCCATTTCGATGGTGTGCACTTCAGGCATGCCCCACAGGGCCTGTCATCTGGGATGTATCCTTATGCAGGAAGGCCTTACTCTACTTTATCAGCCATTGTATGTATATGTATATGTGTGCATAAGTGTGTATATGTTGATTTGTGTGTGTGTGTGCATTTATGTATGTGTGTGTGTGTGTGTTCGTGAGTGTGTATTTACATGAATGTATGGGGTGTATGTGTGTGTATGTTAGTGTGTGTATGTATGTATGTGTGTGTG